AGTTCGTTTGATATGAAACTATCATTCTATGCGTTATTATTCTAAGCATTCAACTTAGTTACGTTCCATCGATTAAGATTTAGTTATATGTTGTAAATATGTGTATATTATTTAGATATAAGCATTTTATAAATATTTTATTTCTTAGTCTAATATTATAGACTAAGATTTGATTTAGGTATAACGTTAAAATAGAACGTTAGAGCACTATATAAAAAAAAACCATTTTGAGTATTCTCAAACAACAATTGACAACCCTCACTGAGTAAAGAGACTTTTATAAGATTCTAACAGATGGCGCTGACGGCCAAAAATGCAGTTTAAGCCCAATACGAAGATCTGCAACAAGCACAGATAAATTTTTAAGATCTGCTGGCTCAGTCTGTAGCTCAATTGGTAAGACCGATGGGCACTGGTTCGAGTCCAATCCGATTATAGGTATTTTTCTTTGTGTTGTTCGTATTATAGTATAAATAACAAGCTAGTGGAGTATTTTCACAAAAATTGATAATATTAATATTTCAGCGATTTAGAGACTCCATCCTCTTGACGTCTTGCCAACTCACGCACAGCGTTGACACGACGTCCGTGCGGCGTATACCCGACGTTCGGCACTATTCAGCAGTCCCTCAGTGCTGCGACACTCGAAAGACGCTAGTGTGGGGGGGTCTCTAAGTTGTTGTATATAAAAATGCCTATTATATTTGCCAAGGTTGGAGCCGTTGGTACGCATGGGAATGGGGTGAAGTGTCAGCCTGCACCAGTGTCCTCCGCACCTGTGGCCCTCACTCCATACCCACAGCTCGAGCATTGAGCTTAGTCCTGTACAGCGCTAGAGTAGTCGCCGAGCCCGACAGACGGTTGCTCAATGCGTTATTATTGTGTTGTCTTGGAGACCAAGCTTTGGCACACTCCTGGAAGCCACGTGGAATAGAGCTACAGTTGCCTTATGCTAAACAAATTCAGGTAAATAAATAATACTTGTTATCGCGGGTAAATTATACATATATTTGTAGGCTTAGATTGTATAATGTTACTATGAATGGTCTGCACTTACAGCAAGTTTTTTGGAGAGATCTAGTTGTGGACATACAGGCTATAATATTGGATATGGTATGGTGTAACGGGCTGGTGTCCGCAGACGTCCGGGCGCTTATGTTGTGTGTAGGATATGATAATATTGGGTGTAATCAACGATACCTATATGTATATAAATGTGATACTAATAATGTATATCAAGTTCTTTGGTTTTCGCGATTGTTGCACACAGGTAGTGAAACGATTTTTTTAAATCTATGTCGCGTGTATTTTTTTGAAAATAATAGCATAATAAAAGCATTTCATTTAAGCAATGGTCTTTCGGTTTACTCTAAGCACAAACAGCAGGGAATATTTAAAATTTATTTAAAAAAACTGATATAGAAGTTACATCAGTTTATAACGGGTAATCGCTCGGTTTTTAACGGTTTTATGAAATTTGCCAGGCATACATTTCGGCGTTCGATATGCTGCCCGAGATAGATTCTCCACAACTTCTGGGATTACCCGTTAACTGCCGCGTCGCCTGGGAGAAAAATGCTATAAATGATATTCTAGCTGGATTGAGAGGTACAAACATTTATTACTTGAGATAGTTTAGCCAGGTCTAATGTATATAACCCGATTAATTGATTACTATGTCTGTATTGTGCAGAATTAAATTCTACCGTAAACATAACCCGTAAGGCCGACAGTACGGCTCCTCTTAAGAATCTGCTAGCTCTCTGGAAGAAGCTCATGTCCGGCAACCCCCTTATCAAAGGTGACTACGACGTGGAAAAGGTTAGTTTTTCTGTTTCAATAATAATAACTGTAACGCACACACTTACAAGCCCCGCACTAGGAAAACCCTGTATCACCGTTGCCTTGGACACACATATAGACGACCACAAATTACACCCAAACTCACGAAAGAGAGATAAATGTAGGCCATACAAATATTTCTCCCGGCCCAGGAATCTAACCCGGGACTCGGTGCCTATATACACGTCTCTCGGAGTGCAGGGTTGTGTTATTATTATTTTACTTGTATCTACAGGTTGCAAAACAGAATTTAAAAAAAAATAGGATATCAGTGTATGCTCGATCTACATAGAAGAACTGACACAATGATATTTTTATACCAGCATCGTGGATTAATATCTCGATTGTGGGAGTGTGATCATCATCATAAAATAGAAATAAAATGCAAGTTTGTATATACCTAACGATACATTTATAAATAAAAAGAATATAAACTTGACAGAGAAAAATATTGTATTTAAATAGGCACTCTTTTTCAAACAACCCTAAACACAACAATAAACATGTTAGCTAATTTGATATCATTATTTATGAATGGCGCGTGCGCCCCTATGCAACGCGAATGCCACGCGAGATAATGCGAATATGTGCGTCGTACAAGACGCACTGCTACGTTTGTACGCAGTTACATTAATTGTTTTATTATGCTATGCGGTAAGCCTGCCTGAAAGTAAAAGGCAAGGCCTATATAATGTCGTCGTAAGAAAGAAAGACACAAGCAGCCAAGGTCAATGTGAGATATAGGGCTCATTGAAAACTAGCGTCACAATCTAATTTATGGCTACGGCATAAGCTGAATGAGGGAAAGGTCCTTAGCGTACGCCACAACCGCACAAATGACTGTACAAATTGTTATATTTTATATTTTGTTTATTGCTTTTTGTCAGTTTTGTTTTACTTTGTTGCTTTTTTCGAATTTTTTATTTTCTTTTTGATTCTTTCTATTTTTTTTCCTATTTCTTATTTGTATCTATGTGTTGTGACGTCTAAGTTTTTGTGATAAAAACAATAGTCTATAAAACATTTTTTATAAGTAGTTTGTTTATGTTACATATACATAAGACATATTTTATACAGAAAATTTCATTGCATTTTATTACCAATTTCTTTAAAAAATCTTAATTTTTCTCTTTTTCAATTTAGTACAAAAATGTATACAATATTATTACTGCACATGAAGGGCATAACTAATTTAAATGTGATTTGGTATGTTCTTGACTTAAAATAAAAGAAGAGGACCCATTTGTTTTTGAGTTGTGAGTTGTGCCTTATTTGTGTTATTTACCAAGTAATTATTGTAATTGAACTACATTACAAAGGCACAGTTCCGTACATTATAAGTAAAAAAATCCGTTGAAATTAGTGCTTTAATGTCATTAACAACAAATATTTATGGTAGAAAATCTGATTATCGACGTCGTTTATGCCTTTTCAGCTTACTGTATATCTAACAATAATTGAGATAGATTTCTAGAACAATTAGGTAAGTTTTTTCCTGATCCCCAATATGTATTTTGATTATCTAGTTTTAATATAAATGTTAGTTGTGCCTTTTTACGTTCAGATGGCAGTATACGAGAATGAATCCTAAAAAAATCAATGAATTACTGTGCCCACAGGCGAATGGTGGGGGGTGGTGGGGCTGCGTGTGTAGTGGCGAGTTGCGCGAGGCTGCGCGCGCAGCAAGGGCGCTCCACACGTCTCTTGCGCAACGAGCGCGCAATCTCACGCATAATATTCACAAAGTGCGTATTATAACGCAGCAGGTTTAATTCTATGCACGATTGACAAGGATAATGGACAATTCTATTAGTGTATTTGCTCATTAATCTTTAGCATCAGTTAACGTTGCCACGGGTCGTATGTAGAGACAGCAGCAGAATTTAATTTCATCCCATTAGAGATTGAGATTTTTGTTCTAATTGCCTATTTGGAAAAATAAAACTGTTAACTATTGTGTGATGAAACGAACTGGGGGCCTACTATGAGCTTATAACTAGCCAGCCAAGTTCCATGCAATTCACTTGACGTGGTAAAACTGAATTGCTTAAATTAGTATCATGACCTACACAAAGTTGAACTGGAATGGCATGCCAGGATTATGAGTTTCACTTTTTAAACGTTAATTATTGTCTCTGGCTGGCTGGCTGACATCTAACAATAGCGAGATGGAAGTACATACCAAATCATATGAAAGAAATAGACTGATGTACTATCCCGAGAACGTTCAAGCACCATTAACCGATTGTGTTCGAAATGTGAATAATTATATTTTTTTTATTAATTTTATTAATAATTATACTTGTTACGTTGTTTTGTAATATCAGCAACTTTTCAAACATACTTTACAATTTGTCTTACGACAAAATTACATGTCATGTTTAGTCGGTATCATTGAAATTAATAAGGTGAGTTTGTAATTTGATAACATAATTGGAACGTATCTTGCATTCGTACATTTTTATTGATTGCATTATAGTCATATTTGGCACTATTTAAAAGTTATTTTACGATTTTCAGTCAATAAAATTATTAAAATAATTAAATTCCATTTAAAAATTGCAATAACATTCATGCCAATAATTTATTAACAATACTTTAAAGATTGGAAACTCAAACGAAAATTTTCAAAAAACGTTCTTTATTTAGTATTTATTTATTGACAATTGGCTATATAGCCTAAAAAGATAACAGATAATTATGAAACTGTAATAAGATATAAACGAAATTTCTTACAAATGTCTAAAACAAAGTTAGTCATGCAGTAACATCGCAAACGGCACGTCACGATACGACTTTGTTATGAAAGAAAAGGTAAACGGATTTGGGAACGTAAACTGCTCGGACAGTGCATTGTTTTTGTGAGGTCATAGTACGAATTTGACAGGCAAACCAACTTACAGGCTTAAATATGATTGCTCTAAGAGCTTATAATAGGCTCCCTGATCGCCGCGGGGGCACCGAAAGACGCGGGTGAACAAAAGCCAAACAATCAGTCAGAGGACAAACTCGTCATCAGACCTTCTTTTCGAAGTGAATTTTCCGTTCTAATTTTGAAGTATTGTTTATTGCAAATTTTAAAGTATTCATTAAATTACATCGCTGACGTTCATCAGCGTTATTATTGAAGAGCTCCCGCTATTCGAAGAAATATACTAGTGTAAATATATTATAGTTTTCCAGTCCGTTGCCTTTTCCGTATGTGTTGTACTGGCTCCCCCAGGTTCCCGACGAATGGCAGCTGCTATGGGCGGGACCCGAAGCGCCCGACGTGTACGTCAAGGAGTTCTGCTACCGCGCACGATCGGCCATCGCCAGATTTGAAACTGATATACACGATGACAACATGCCTAGTGGTAAAAAAGTAGCTATTAATTCGTTAAATAATTTTACTAGTTTTGGCTTTAAAATTACAAAATAAAAATACTGCTCACAATGCATTAATTTCTTGTGGTGGTTATAGAGGATTTCAAATCTATTTAGATCCATCTTTTTGTAGTACGCTTTAATAGACTGACAATTAAAGATATATCTAGACTCAATTTAGTTCGCCACGAGATGGAAACGAATTTATGTAACCATAGCAATGTACTTTATGCCAATTCTGGAACCAAAAGTCTTCCGAAGAATTATCGCGCAGTCTCGGGAATTCCCGCAGATACCGTATCGTATTTAGTTTATACGTTACACAATTGTAACAAAGTTTATTATGCTATTCACAATTTCGTTAAAAAAAATTCATGTCCATTCCGCTGCGCGAAGAAGTTAAGGAATTAATTTCCAATAAACCGCTCTCCAGATTTAGATCTCCGGTCTCTACTAAGACCGGCTCGTGCCATATGGGCTCTGCGCGTGCGCACGGCGACGCGTCTCGCGTGTGCCGTCAACGATCTTGCTCTCATCGTCAAATGGGATGCGCATTCTGGTATGTTATTTATTGTCTTCAGTCCTATACGTATATCAATATATTTAAATTATTTCACGCAAATTTCGTCCAAATACAAATTTCCAACAAACAAAATGCCATGAAAGCCGGCAGTCTAAAGAGAGTTTTATGCAATGTAAGAGTAATAATGGTTGCCTATAATATTACCGCTACCGGCCTATAACGGCTACGTTTCGTCCGTGTTCAGCTACGGTCTTGTACTATGGGGCAACTCAGTAGTTTTAGAATGAGTGTTCAAGGTTCAAAAAGATAAGGTTTACTTTATTTTTATTGTTTTAATGTTATCAGATGGCGAAAAAGACGGGATCATAGCTCGCGGGCTTCGTTTATGCGGGGCGGAGTGGTCACCAGACGGACTGACGCCGCCCGCGCCGTGCGGGTTGCCGAATACACCTGCGCCGCCGCTGCTTCTTCGATACGTACCTCAGGTTGAAACATGACGCTACTGTTACATATGATAATTATTATTATTATTTTCACAATATATTTATTTATTTATTCAATGCATTACATGGGTAATATACATGTTCTTAAACTAAATATAAGTACAGCCATGTAACCCTGCAGGGCACAGCAATTAGTTATAACATAAAATTAAATATTTAATTACTAAACTTGTAAAGCTATAATCTATAAAAAATAACATTAAATTTCAGTCATAATCATCAAATTAGTATCAAAATAATATCATATTAATAAAATAGAAGTAACAAGAACCAGGGTAATGATTAATTGTATATATAGAAATAGATAAATTAAAATATTTTTATTCTTAACAATCCTCAAAAGTCTCATATAAAATTAATATCATTTGTTATTAATCATATCTTGTCAAATCTATAAATTAACATTTCATATCAGTCCTAATCAATCAAAATCAATAATAAAATCTAAAATAAAATTATAACAATAAAATACAAATAATGGAGATAAAAGTAATAATTAATTATTTAAGTAAAAATTAGAAATATTCATTGCTAATAAATTTTTTAATCACGTATATATTGATATAATTTGTTATTTATAACATCTTGTCTTTGCTCTCGAAGAACTCTTGCAACGTGTAAAAACATTTTTGGAGCAAATATTGTATAAGTTTTTTATTAAAAGAATTATTGTTCACCTCATTTTTAATGCCTTTGGGAATGTTATTATATATTTTTATGCACATGGCATAGGGGCCAGAACTATGCATTTTTAATTTTGAATGTGGAATTGGTATTCTTTGTCTAGGTCGTAGGTTTCTTGGTTGTTGTTCGTTTGGAAAAAGGTGTCTGTATTTTCTTAGAAATTTGCTAGTTTCTAGGATGTAAATCGATGACAGGGTAAGTATATTCAATTTTAAGAAATTTGGTTTACAGCTTTCTGTCTGCTTAAGGTTGGCCAGAATTCTTATGCATTTCTTTTGATATATAAAAACATCACCTACGCCCGTACTGTTGCCGCACAATACCACTCCATATTGGACCCACGCGTCAGCATACGCGTAGTATGCACTTAGAGCTGTTTTAAGGTCGGTGGTCTTTTCTAGTTCTAATAGGGCTATAAGTGAAGCTAGCCAATTTGGAGCATATTTTTTGAGTATGCACCTTCCAATCGACATGAGTATCAATTTCTAGGCCAAGGAGTTTATACGTGCCTAGCAATCTACAGCTATGTCGTCAAATGAAAAATTAATATTAAGGTTGCTCCTTTGGTGAGGGTGGAATTGCATTAATTTTGTTTGGTCGATATTTAATTCTAGGTTGTGGATTCTGAGCCAGTTGGTCACTTTATTTACAATAGTATAAATGTGGGAGTTTAATGTGTTACCGTCGTCTTTAAGTGGAAATACAATGGAGATGTCGTCTAATTTACTCCTAGCCTAGATTCATATCTACGCTACCAGCTCCATAAAGTGACACTTCAAGGTGTGTAGTTATAGATGTCTATATTCCCAAAGATGGGGCCACCCCCCATAATTAATACCCAATCAACACGCTCGCGTTTTAACCGGGTTTTTTCCCAAACTCGGCGAACACGGAATTTGATATAATACTAATAATACCTAATACAAATTTCGGTGTAAAAAATCTTTTTTAGGTGATTAAGAGGCTATTCCTCACAATACCTGCATTACAATCCTGTGGATTCTCACTTCTGAGGATGCACATTACCATTCGATTTTTACGAAAATCTATTCGACTGCATAAAACTCCATTTACAACAAATATTTAGTAGTAAATAGTTTTTGCCCTCGATTTTGGGTATTAATGGGAAATAACCCGATTTAAACCCGGCAAAAACAAATTGCCCATCTCTACGTTTTTTTTAGAAATGACTAAAATGACGTATGCAACATTTTAAAGTCATGTAGTTAACTACATTAACATTAACATTAATGTCGACAGCTTTATCGATAGATTGTGAAAGTGGATAAAATTTTGCATAAAAGCAATGAGTAGTGAACGTTTCAATGATTAATAATTTCGTTAGAGCCTTCTTTCTTCGTATTTTGACAGTTAGACCACTAGTATCAAAATCAATTCGTAAAGCACGAACTTGTTCAATCAATTCGTAAAGCACGAACTTGTTCTAATGCGAATTATTTCCTTAGAGTACACAATTCCAGATAAACGTCCGCGTAAAATAAAGACACACAAAACAAACGTAAAGAGCGCGTCTCAAAGTTCAACCGGGTAGCGAACATGGCCTTCCGTGTGCAATACGTGTAATAAATAATACAATCAAGGGGTGGACTAATAAATGTTAGTTTATATTTAAATAAATATATTCATACTATAATAATAAAAGCAATGATATCCCAGTGGGAAAGCAATAGCTTCTCAATTGACGCGGCATGAGCGTATAACTTTAATTTCTAATTCTCATCATTTTAGGAAATGAAACTATTTTTCCGGATTTTAATCGCGTATATTTGTTTTTCATCTTTTTTTAAAATATTTATTTTGATTAAGTATCACGATGTTTTTACATCATGGTAGGAAATACATCATAATACTCATCTATTTTTTTGTAAAAATATTCCACTAGCTTAATTTCTAATCTCTATTGTAAATGTTTAGTAACAATAACACTCGCTAACGATGAAGGCAAAAATCGTGATACACGTCGAAGAAGGTACTTCATTCGTCTTTTGGAAAACTTATGCAGGCCCCAACCTGCATTACAGGTGGACCACAGCCTAAACCTTTCCTAAGGAGATCCGTGCTCGGCAGTGGAACGAGTAATAGGTCGATGATAAGTCAAATGAAACGAGTCCGACTATTTATTGCCTATTCGTAACCAATATTCAGTCGATAGAATGTTTATCGAATGCAATCACTAGCGGCTTGCAAGCGTGCAACACTAGCGCAATGAACTGTGAATTTACTACGGTCTTGGAAAGAAACACAGTACAGAAGTATCAACCACCGAGACTAACTTACGGGTTTTGCTCATGACTTATCATTTTGGCACGTTTAGTACGTAAAAGAGATTGGCTATTGTTTTATCATACTGCATATTATCTCCGTTAACATATTGAACATTTCTTATATAAACAAGCTTTACATTGTTTGTCAACAGAGTAAAGAGGGCGCTATATCTGAGAACACATTCGAAGTCCCAGTATACAGCAACGAGGCGCGAGAGGAAGTAGTGTTCGCAGCGCGCGCGCCGCTCTCTCGACAGATCGACGCTAGCACTGCACTGCTCAATGCTGTTGCACTTTTTATAGCACCTATTGAATAATAACCATTTTCTTTGTTTACAATATTTTTCATAATATTTATTGCTATATATAGACACATCGTTGCACAATCAAGAGCGCATCAACTTTGACCCGTTCTTATCGTAAGCAGCATAGAGTTTAATCATTCGTTCAATTTAAATCTCAAGTGTCAAGCTTGACGCGCTCGTGACTATACTAACTAAAGCTACAAACTGGACGACAAGGACCGGCGGCGCGGTGGCGCGGCGACTCGCGCGCCTTGATCATGCCTAGGTTTGAACGGTTGACTGACCATGACCATGGGACCTGTAAAAGGCGCGAAACGTCGGTTTATTTGAAAAAACAAATATACGCGATTTAAATCCGGAAAAATAGTTTAATTTCCTATTTGACTAATTATTTTTTTATAATTATTAATACAAAGTTCGAACACTCAGAAAAAAATCCTTCAATCCGGTCGGATTCGAACCGAAGTCTTCTTGCATACCGTGCCAGACGTTATACTATATTATTATGTATTGCTATATTTTTATATTATACATTGCTATATGCTATATTTTTATAGGCAAAAAAATCGCCATTGTCTATCATTATGCCGTTTAGAAGTTATAACGATGTTTTACAGTCCACGCTGAAATAAGCTTATGCCGAATGGCACCATTATAAATAAGCTTATTCCAGCGTGTATAGTAAAACACCCTTGTAGCTTTTGAACGGCGGGCCGACTAAATCTAGTTTTTTGCAACTAGAACCAACTAAAAGGCGACTTTTACCTGACTAACCCAATCTCATAAATTCGGCCACGGCTACGCTGGAACAAGTTCATGTAGTAATTAGTTAGTACATATCTTTAATTGCACAAACTGTTTGCACTAAGTATGAAATACTCTTCAATAAACGTATATGTACACAACAAGATATTTTTCTTTCGCAGGGTACAATTGTCACAGAAACAGTAAAAAAAAAACCTTTTATTTACTACTTATTTAATTATTGTACAATTTGAACATTGCACAAAAATAAATCTCAGGAAACCATAAATCTAAAACATAATCACTGATAATGAAAAGAACACAGTCCGTGCAAAAGCTCACTTTCTTGAAATCCAGATCTATTACAATAAATCTTAATTACGTAAATATTTAAAATCTTATATAATCTGAAGCGTAACTACTACTTCTCCTTATAAGCTTATTAACTTTTATACACGAAACAAATATTTTTCAAAAATTTAAAAACTAATTAATACGTTTTTAATAAAAGAGCTAGTTTCCTAATCCTATTAAAAGAGATAACAGCTAAATTCTGACATCGTTTCGCTGCACGGTCGTGACGTTATTTATGACGTTGAAAATAAACGGTGCGCAGTTCGCGTTAAAGGACGAATGTGTACTGTCTTCGTTTTCTTCAGTCTGACTACGGTTATGTGAGTCCTGTAGATAAATAAATCTTTGTAGACAAATGTTTAAAACGAAAACATGTCAGCAATGCATAAAAGACTGCTAAAATAAATCTCACACAAAATTAGGCATTTTTCAATTATTCAATCGTTTCTGAAACTGGTAACGTTAATTTTTCGTACTTTATTTTTTGTAGCCAGCCAATCGTTTCAACAGTGGGCAATTAAAATTATTGTGAGGGAACCCGCGTACCAAATTTAAAGGCATGTTGTCAAACATGCTATGCAGAGATTTGTTAGCCGCAGCCGCGAGTTAGGTGACCGCTATGTTAATGATGATATTAACCTGTCCAACTCGTACTGTGTGTGGAACTATGGAATTTTGCACAGTGGCATCTCGAACCCTCATGAGCTCTCGACTGTAATAAACAACAATAATATGAATATAATTATTTTTCGTTAGTAAATATGTATAATGAGAACAGAGGAAATCGGCAACTAACTCCTAATAGAAACCCGTGCCCAGCTGTGAGATGTATAATCGGTTCTTTAAAAATCCGTAACATGGCAAGAGTCAAGAACATAATTTGTTTCTAGTAATAAAAATTCCAAGAACTATATTCACTTATTAGTCGTGACGTCGTTATAGAGGAAATCTTCTTGGTCTTCTGCTGGAGCTTCTAGAGTAGGCCCATTTACAGGTGTCGTGTAGCTGCAAGATTAAAGAGAATGTGTATTTCCTGTTATATTACTTTGCGACCTCTAATTTAATGTAAAGTATTAGTTTTGGTCAAATTAGCTGAAGATTTGATGTACCGAACATATACAAGGTTATTTTTTAAATACTAACAACCTGAACTATATTACTAACACCATAAACAACAACTTTTGTTCCATGACTTTTTATAAAACATAATAAATCGACCATAAATAAATATTTTAGTAGCAGAAGATTTCCTTGTGATATAGTTCGTCTAAGGAAGTACTGGCACCTTACTAATTTTTGCCGCCAAGCAGTATTGTGAGCATTATTGCGTTCCGGTTTGGAAAGGTAAGGTTGCTGGTGAAATTACAGGCACATGGGACTTGTCAACTTATATCTCAAGGTGACGAGCGCAGTGGAAGTTTTAGGGGAACTGTGACGGGATCAATGTCGTCAGACTTTTGCGAAGTTAATAACCGTATAGTTAGTAACCGATATTCGCCGTTTCTATACTCCATATACAACTTTATTCCCCACAAAAATCCCCACTGAAGTTTGTAATTCCCTAGACAGTATTAAATAGCCTAAAATCGCCTTTATCTGTTTATAAGGTAGCCTAAATTTTCGCCAAATCGCCGATAGCTTTTTATTGTCGCCGCACGACCCCTCGAAATAGCCTAAGTGGCGAAAAATCGCCCAATCTGGCACCACTGCCTAGGATCTTTGCGATTAAAAGGGTAACCTAGCACAAACACGAAAATTTTTTTGTCCGAAATAACGTTTGTTCAAATTTTCACTACACCGAAAACCGAACTATAACGAAACAGTTGTTCTTTCAGGATATGTTGAATATTTATCGCAAAGACACGATTAGGTTCAGTTAGGTTCTTTTTTTTCTCGAAGGAAGGAGGGAATCCTTATGGATACCATAGGTCCGGACCGGATGGCATGCCCGACTTTACTGGGAAGTGTGACCAGTGACCTACGGACTAAAACCTCCTCCATAATAATTACACACTACAGACTCGAGGTCCGTACCCTTTATTAAATACATTACTTTATTAATTCTTTAAAACGATTTTCGTCTCTGATTTCCACGCTTATTTTTATATTAGTTGCACTATTCCATTTAATCTAGCCGAAGATTTTTTTGAATTTTTTTTCTTTTTCTTTTATCTATATTTTTTTTAATTTTTTTTTTGTAAGTAATTACTTTTATTAACTTACTATATATATATTGGATATACCGGTCCTGTCTGCGAGTCGTGATGCGAGATCGTCCTC